CTAATCTTCATTTTAAGAAGATTAGAATTTTAATTCTCCCAAAACTATTTCCAAGACTAGAGGGTTTCCTGCCTTCTCTTATGATGGGCCAGAAAAATTAATTAGGAAGGAAAAATTTACCCTTTCTTTCGAAACTTATTTCAACTATCCTTCCCCACCCTTCCTACCCACCCAACAGCACTGCACCCAGATCTATGATAGAGACTCCTACAATGTGGTTCCTATCCTTGGCAAAAGTCCAACAGCAGATCATGCTAGTCTGACTCCTGTAGTAGAGATGTATAGTTAAATAGGAAGCTTTGAACATCCCTGTTATTCAAACCAGTGATTTCTTTTTACATAATTAGATAAAATTCTTGTGAACTTTCTCTAGTCTATTTCCAGCACACACATCCCGAGAAAGTTCCTCAAAAAGGAAATGTTTAAAATTCTTTCTTCCTAAAGCAAGGTTTCTAAAATGACCACCCAGGCAATGAGATCAAGGATCTGAGCTATAAGCACCTCTAAAGACCTCTTACTAAGTCCCAATCAGAGAAGAAATGGGAACAGACCAGGAAGAGAAAAAAACTTGTCAGTCCAGTTTCTGGGAGAGGAAAGTCAGATCTAGTTTCCTTTCAATGAGGACCCAATAGGTGTAAGCAGGACAGAGAAGTTACTCTTGCACAGAAATCAGAAGATAAAGCAGAGAGCAGATCACTTTCACTCTCCCGGTAGGCCTCGAAACTGCCTAGGCACTTGTATAACCTGATGAAAGCCATCAGAGCCCCAATGAGAAAGGCAAGGAAATGAGAAGGCATTATTAGCTATCCACATATTGTAGAAGAAAACAGAGACTCAGAACTAAGTTCCTTAGTTTTTCAAGGTTAGACACTAGCTTTTCAAAGTTAGACAGCTTACCAGCATGAAAACAGGATTTTGTCTCTAAAGCCACTGTACTTTCTTCTCTATCACTTCCCTTGTGCTGCCAGTTACAACAGCAAACATCAGACTTTACTTTCCTTCTGTAAGCTTTTGATATCATCCTGACCTGAGACATATGTTCTGAAAATACAATTAGCTCAAATATTAATGAACTTTTCTAATGGTCACATTCTCTGTGTCTTAAACTATTACCTGCTAATATGCTTCAGAACAATTCCTATTGGACATATTTCTCTCTAAGTTTCACATTTATCTCTCCTTTCGTACTCATTTAGGTAGGCAAAAATCTACCAGGTTCATCAGACTGCTTTACTTGGTGAATGGTATATTCATTCACATAGTTAAGTTCTCAGGAAATAAGCACTGTTTGAAAACTGAAAATTACAAGAATTTTTATGTTTTACTAATAAATTCTCTATTCACTGTTAACAAATCTTCAAAAGCCTGGTCCAAATGCAAACACGTACAATATCTTTTCTCTTTTTCACCAAGGGACTGGTCTGTGTTTGTATAGTGCAATAAATCAACTGATTAGAACTTTTAAAACAAAAAACCCATAAATTTAGTATAACACATCTTTAAAATTCCAAAAATCAGAATTCATATAGTTCCTCACAGACTGTAAAGTGATCTAAAATTATCTGATTTCATGTATATGAAAGAGTCTGAATCATTCATGTATGATAGGTAAATGTATCTGTAGTTAAAATTATATTGTTTTAAATTATAACCTTGTTTTATGTTTCTAAGTTTTATAGGGTTTTATGTACTGTAAAATCGTCTATATTAACCTTTGACAGGTTTATGCTAGTAAAGGAGATTTGTACCTGAGTAATCTACTTGGAATAAAAACCATGGGTGTCACTGTTTTTAGATCATATCTTCCTCTCTCCTTTCTTCCACAGTTCCACAAATACCACCTATCTTTTGGTGATTCAAAAAAATCTTAAATGAATTATATTAACTAGACCATTTCAATTTTTGATAATGGTCTCACATTTACACCAATCTTCATTCACAATGATAATTAATGCTCAAGTCAAATCCTTTCATATTGTATGTAAAATGCTTCCAACTGTGACATATGTCTAAGTCTTTGACTTTATTGACATGCCTTTTCCTTTCCTTTTTAGCGTATAAGACAGATCAGGGGTCAGTAAACTTTTCTGTAGAGAGCCAGAAGTAAATATTTTAGGCTAAGCCAGCCACAGGGTCTTTGTTGCAACTGCTCAGCTCGCAGCTGCAGTGCAAAAGCAGCCACAGGTAACACATGAATGAATGGGTGCAGCTGGATGTACCTGGCACCCTACTGGATTTGGCCCCTGGCAGTAGCTTACTGATTCCTGAGCCACGTCATTGGAAAAAGAGGAAAAATTGTGCTACTACAATCACCTGGGGTATCTTACTACTTAGGCTGACAGAGGAAACTATTCATAGCCATGCTGAATTTACACTTCAGCACTAAATCCATTAATCTTGACTCAAAGAGTGCTAAAATGTAATAGTCCACCAAAATTAGATTTAACTTTTCCAGATAGCTACACATTTTGGTTAAGCATATTACCAAATAAATAAGGCCTTAACTGTGGCCAGGCTTTCAAACTTGTCTACTATCTCCCCTTCTCACCTTATTTCCCTACTTTACCCCAATTCCACTGGACATAATACTAATTTCTTTTGTCTCAGGAAGGCCAAGACATCATCACCTCCCCCTCCCCTTATATAGAAAAAGGTTTCTATTTCCCCTACTTCTGCTACCAGATAGAGTTGGAGGCTGACTTCATTACCAACCCCCTTCTCCATCGCTGCCTTTCACTCTATAAATTGGACAAGGTAAATGCCTACTTTCTCAGCCCTTCCTGCAGCTTAGCATGGCCATGTAATAAAGTTCAGGATAATAAATATCTCATGGAAGACTACTGGAGGCTGGGGGATTGGGAATATGGGGAGTGGGGTGGGGAAAGCCCTGAGAAAGAGTTCACATTTTTTTAAAAAAAGGAGACCACCAAGGGCGCCTGGGTGGCTCAGTTGGTTAAGCGACTGCCTTCGGCTCAGGTCATGATCCTGGAGTCCCGGAATCGAGTCCCACATTGGGCTCCTTGCTCAGCAGGGAGTCTGCTTCTCCCTCTGACCCTCCTCCCTCTCATGCTCTCTGTCTCTCATTCTCTCTCTTGCAAATAAATAAAATCTTAAAAAAAAAGGAGACAGTCACAACTGCCCGAACTCCTTCCTCCCCTTTCTTCCTGACTTAGGGCAAAGATGATACCTGAAATTACAGCAACGATTCTACAGTCTGAAATTCCGCAACCATTAGAACAAGCTAAGAGAACTGTGGAGATCCAGTGCTGAAAATTTTAAGCCACTGAAGCAATGCCAGAGGCTACTTATCTCCACAGTTGTTTCGTGGGAAAAAAGCAGACGCTGTAAAATGAGAATTTTTGTTACAAATAAAAATATTCCTAATCTGCCTTTTCTTGGAAGTCCAAGTCTCCATTCCTTGTGACAAATGAAGGACCCGAAATGGCTGAGCACAGTTTGTTGTGAGTTCTGACTACACAGCACTACTTTAACCCAGAGAGAGAAAAGTAGCAGGAAGAAAATCACAAAAGAGGGTCTAACCTGAGAGTTGACAGCCTCATACAATAAAGTCAATGAAGGCGGTGCCTGGGTGGCTCAGCTGGTTAAGCGTCGGCCTTCTGCTCAGAGCATGATCCCAGGGTCCTGGGATCGAGCCCCACGTTGGGCTCCTTGCTCAATGGGGAGGCTGCTTCTCCCTCTCCTCCCCACCACCTGTGCTCTCTCTCATTATCTCTGTCTCTCTCTCTCAAATAAATAAAATCTTTTAAAAAATCTATAAAAAATAAAAAATAAATAAATAAAAATAATAAAGTCAATGAAGGAAAAGAAAGGAGAAGATCCAAGATGATTATTCAAATGCTAAAAGTTATAGAAAAGAAATAATTGAGAAAGTACACTTTTAGAATTATGGGGAAATAAACTTTATAAATGTTCTACTCAGCGAATCAAACCTGAAAATTCTGATTATATTAATTTCCAATTGTGTATTCCTACTTTTTGGAAAAAAAAAAAGAAATTCAGAACTCATTTTTTACAGTTACATTTTTATGCTTTTTCCCAAGTGACTTAATTTACCTTTATGTTTCTATTTCCCTGGTATTCACAGAGGTATAGTTATTGTCCATGTATGATCATTTTTAACACTCGAAGAATCTTTGAAATAATTATTAACGATCAAGTTAATGATGATATTGCCAATAAGGGCACTGGTTCCTTCAAGTATTCATATACTAGGTTAGCTGGCCAATCCTAACCCTAACTTTAGGGACAGTCACTTCTCTTTTATATCAATACCATTGCAAAAACATCCAAAGATAAGTAGCCCAGTCAAAAGAAACTTCAGAAGTATGCTTATTTTAACTCGCATATCCCTTAATGGGTAATGAAGTCTTAAGTTAAAATACCAGTTTTTATTTTACTTTCTTACAAATAATGCAATATAACACACACACACACACACACAAACTCATACACACACCTCTCTCTCTAGTTCTAAACCCAACAGTCTTCTCCTCCATGAGAATTTTGGTGGTATTATGTTGCAATGTAAACACTTATCAATTATAACACCTACAAATTACAATGGATTTTTTTTTTAATTTTTATGATTCCAGAGTAGAATTCCTTAGGGCTGTCAAAGCTTTAGCTAGAAAGAATGCCAAATAAAAGAGGTTTCAGGCTCAATTAGAGTAGTGGGACAGAATCTAGTAAAGCTCCAACACTACATTTTAATGCCCAAATCTCTTATTGTCTTTTTTAGTTGACAAATATGTGCTCCGCAGTATAACAGCAGCAGCAGAACAGCTGGGTGGCCATATCAAGCACAAAGGAAGTAACAGCACATGCTGTTAAGTGTCGTTTTGATTGCCTAAAAATGGCAGCTCGTGCAGATTTATTCCCTGTTATAAATTAGAACAATTATTTCTCTGGAGTTTACATTTTCTTCATGGAAGAGCCAAACTTCTTGCACATTAAAAAAAGGGGATTTTCAAAAAGGATATCTTCCCTTTCTTTGATGATCAGATCATTCTGTTCTTCCAACTGCCTGATCTTCTTCTCAAATGATTCCTGCTCAGCTCGGAATCGTTCTTCGGTCACCTCCTTTTCCTCGCTTACTCTGAAATACAAAAATGAAAAGAAAATGCCTATGAGAATAAGAAAATATGTGCCTAGAGCTGTCATTTACCAAAATTAGATTTCTTCCAGAGGTGTGCTGATTTCTTAAGGGATAATCTATGCTAGGCTTTTTAAAAAAACTAACCTCTCATAAGGCAATCTTGCATACCTTTGTAATAAAATATGAATATGATTTTTACATCAAAAATATTCCCAATCATCAGAAGTATCTTAAATATGGAAAGTCCTACATAGAATATAAGTTCCCAAATTGTAATCCAGGACAGAAAAATATCCAAACTAAAAACACAGTTTCATTTCTTATCAAAACAGGCACAATCAATTTACTTTGATTTGAATCTTTTTCATATTTTTATTTAAATCCTGTCAATGAGATATACAGTCTATATATCTCTGAAACATTTCATTAAATATACACAGGCAATTTTACTCTTTTCCTTGGTACTGATACCCTGCATTCCTCAGTAGCATATAAGTAACTAGACTAGAATAAAAAGATGGTATTAACATTAAAAAAGGTTTGCATTACAACTATTCTTAGTCCAAAAAGAATTACAAAGTGTTAAAAAACACTGACCAAAAAAATCTGTATCTTTAATGTTTAACTCTGAAAAGTATTCCAACTTGATCCCATCAAAAAGGTGGCTTCTGACAAGAGCACAGGGGGGAAAATCGTTTAAAAACCCCAATTAAACAAGAACAACATGAAAACTTACCTTAAAATGACAACCCTAATTCTCATGTTACTCTGTGCATAGAAATGTTAGCCCTGAATTTTTCTGTTACTGGTGCTTATGCCTCCAAAGAGAGTACAACATTTATCCTACAAGATCACACAGCAATATGTGTAAAGGAAACCACAGGGACTCCTCTGAGCTCCTGAATTTACTTCCTTCCAGACCGCAGCTCTATGACAGCAATTTCTGAATAACATGAACTCGACAGCCTTTCCTTTGTTGCTAACCTTCTGGTGAAGATACTTGAAATCAATGAAGTAAAAGAATGAAAATTGGATTTTTGAATGTTTGAGTTGATTGCATCCTGTCTTTGAGATAATTTACATGAAAGTGCATGGCACACAATAGTGTTCAAAAAAGAGGTTTATGTCTTCTTGCTCATCATGACATTAAAATCATTTCCCCAACCCCTATTATTCATGTTTAGATACTATTAGGTCCATGAATGGGACTCAGGCCCTTCCTTCTAAGAAGGTAAACTCTAAAACTGATAACAAGTACAAAGAATGCAGACAAATAGACATATGAGGACAATTTATCCCCTGGTCTCAGGTTATCCTGCCTCCATTGTCGCCATCCCTTTCCAAGGCCTTCCCCTTTGCTGCCATTACTCTCAAGCATACTTGCCCTACCTTTCAAAATAATTCCTGCTGCCTCCCAGTTTTTCTAGAATTGTCAAACATTTGAACCATGAATTATTTTTTACCATCTAAATCTTCAATCTGTCATCCAGCTTCTGAAACACCTTTGCCAAGATACTGTTCCAAATCAAGTAAACCCCCAAAATGCAAAGTGGAAAACCATGTATACATGGGGACACTGGAAAACTGTGCTTATTTCTTTAAGCATCATTATTCTCACCCATGAAGAAAAAAGCTAGACTAGACAATTGTTAAAATTCTCTCCAGCTAAAGTTCTATAATTTCCTTCACTATACTATAAATATCCTAATACTGTATATACATCCTTTATAAATACGGAGAGCTTTTGTAAAGGAATAAGAAAGAAGTTCTCAAACATTTGGTCAAGGTGCAAGGCATACAATACTATAATCTAGGCAAAAGATATAGCCATAGGATGAGAGAGAAAGTAGATAAGAGAAATACTAAAAAGCATAAAAATGCAAAATTTAGCATAACATAAGAAGTGACAAATATGTAGGATTACGCATAAAATAAAGATGAGGGGCACCTGGCTGGCTAAGTCAGAAGAGCAAGCGACTCCTGATCTCAGGGTCCTGAGTTTGAGCCCCACCTTGGGTGTAGAGATTACTAAAAACAATAAATAAACTTAAAAAAAATAAGCATGAAATAAGTGATGCTATATATTGTTAGGAGAGAAAAAGCACTGTCAAGGTGAGAAAATGTAGTTTTCTAAGTGTAGCAAAATCTCTCCCCGTTTAGATTGATAAAATCCTAAAAATAAGACTAGAGAATAAAATCTGTAAGTACATAAGAAAACATTTATTTTCATCTAATTATTAAAAAATATTTACTCAAGGGCACCTGGTGGCTCAGTCAGTTAAGTGTCTGCCTTCAGCTCAGGTCATGATCCCAGAGTCCTGGGATCCAGCCCCTGTCAGGCTCCCTGCTCAGAGGGGAGTCTGCTTCTCCCTCTCCCCCTGCCCTTCCCCCGATGGTGCTCGCTGGCACGCACCTGCACACTCACTCTCTCAAATGCACACTCTCTCTCTCAAATAAATAAAATCTTAAAAAAAATTTACTGAATGCCTACTATAGAAAAAAAATAATCAACGTAACTTTAGTCAGTTACAGGGTATCCAAAAGGAACATAACAATGGCTCTCTATTAGTTCAAGACTATTCTTAAAGGCCCCTATAAATATAAGGAATGGTCGAAAGATCTGCTTCATCAGCAAGCAATGCCCCGGGGTCAGAAAAATGGTTAAAAAAAAAAAGAAGAAGGTAGAATGCCAAGTTTACCTTAACATTAAACTAAACACAGAGACTATCTCTAGAGCCTACCAGGTCAAAACACGTAGGTATTCACCAACATTCACTTATTCCCTTTGTTGGGCCTGAAGGAGATTCATGAAAACTCTTAAGGATCATTGAGGGCAAAAATGCTTATAGATATATCTCATAATGCCAGAGTCTACAATGAGCTTTTCCCAAAACATAAGTACTCTATCTAGAAAAATCACTCTTCTAAATTTAGTTTCTGGAGTATGTTTGAAAAATTTGTTGCTACACTATTTATACAGGGCTTTTTTGTTTTAATCTTTTGTGTTATGCTACTCTGATTAGACTACTCTTTAGCAATTATTATACTCTGGAAGGTTATAGACTTAAGCACAAAAGGCAAACACTTCTTCTACAGGCCTATCTAAAGATATGTATTGCTTCTTTGTGGCCTATTAGCCTAGTTAATATGAGCATATATATTAATACAACCTTTAAATGCAGAGGACTTGCCAATAAAACAGCCTCCAGATTTGATATCTACTCTGAAATCTGTCTTCTTTTTAAATTTATGTTCAATAATATTTCCCTTGAGGTATATGTATAAGAAAATACCTGGTATCATGATCTACATTTTTCATTAAAGCATTCTAAGACCACAAAGTAACATAAGAAGACCTAATCCTCTACCTCATGTGGAGCATAGAAATTAATTCATTAAGAAAATGAGAATCTAAGCACAGGGAAGGGAAATATTTGACCAACAGGATTAAAAAGTTAAAACTGGCCAACAACTTTGTAATATAACTTGAAGTCCGGAATTGTGATGCTCCCACTTTGTTTTTCTTTTTCAAGATTGCTTTGGCTATGCAGGGTCAGCAAACAGCAAACAATTAGGATTGTTTGTTCTAGCTCTGTGAAAAATGCTGGTGGTATTTTGATAGGGACTGAATTAAATGTGTAGATTGCTTCGGGTAGTATAGACATTTTAACAATACTTGCTCTTCCAATCTGTGAGTATGGAACGTTTCTCCATTTCTTTGTGTCATCCTCAGTGTCTTTACTAAGTGTTCTATGGTTTTCAGAGTGTAGAGATCTTTTACCTCTTCGGTTAGATTTATTCCTAGGTATCTTACGGTTTTTGGTTCAACTGTAAATGGTATTGATTCCTTGATTTCTCTTTCTGCTTCTTCATTTTTAGTGTGTAGAAATGCAACAGATTTCTGTATGTTGATTTTATATCCTGCAACTTTGCTGAATTTTTGTATCAGTTCTAGCAAATTTTTGGTAGAGTCTTTTGGGTTTTCTACACAGAGTATCATGTCATCTGCAAATAGTGATAATTTTACTTCTTTCTTGCCAATTTGGATCCCTTTTATTTCTTTTTGTTGTCTGATTGTTGAAGCTCTAGTCATTAAGACAGTATGGTATTGGCACAAAAACAGACACATAAATCAATGGAACAGAACAGAAAACCAAGAAATGGACCCACAATCACATAGTCAACTAATCTTTGACAAAGCAGGAAAGAATATCCAATGGAAAAAAGACAGTCTCTTCAACAAATGGTGTTGGAAAAACTGGACAGCAACATGTAGAAGAATGAAACTGCACCATTTTCTTACACCATACACAAAAATAAATTAAAAATGGATGAAAGACCTAAATGTGAGATAGGAAACCAACAAAATCCTAGAGGAGAACAGAGGCAGCAACCTCTCTGACCTTGGCCATAGCAACTTCTTACTAGACACATCTCCAGAGGCAAGGGAAACAAAACCAAAAATGAACCATTGGGACTTCATCAAGATAAAAGGTTTCTCTACAGCAAAGGAAACAATCAACAAAACTAAAAGGCAGCCCACAGAATGGGAGAAGATATTTACAAATGACATATCCGATAAAGGGTTAGTATCCAAAATCTATAAAGAACTTTTCAAATTCAACACCCAAAAAACAAATAATCCAGTTAACAAATGGGCAAAAGACATGAATAGACATTTTTCTAAAGAAGACATCCAGATGGCCAACAGACACATGAAAAGATGCTCAACACCACTCATCATCAGGGAAGTAAATCAAAACCACAATGAGATACCACCTCGTACCTGTCAGAATAGCTAAAATTAACAAGATGTTGGAGAGAATGAGGAGAAAGGGGAACACTCTTACACTATTGGTGAGAATGCAAACTGGTGTGGTGACTCTGGGAAACAGTTTGGCAGTTTCTCGAAAAGTTAAAAATGGAACTACCCTACCACCCAGCAATTGCACTACTAGGTATTTACCCAAAGAATACAAAAATACTGACTTGAAGGGGTA